GGGTGAATCGCATCTGTGTCTAAGGCCTACTTTCACAGGAAAATAATCTCCCTTTCTTCTACATACCCTAACCTTAGCCTATACTCCTAAACTGCTTTCAGTAACCTACCACTTATTACATACACTTGCAGCATCTCCTACATTGCTTTCCTATCCATCCTATAATTTTTTTTTTCAACAAACCGGCCGCATCCCACTGAGGCAGGGTGGCCCAAAGAGAAAAACAAAAGTTTTGCTTTTTAAATTTAGTAATTTATAGAGAAGGGGTTACTAGCCCCTTGTCCCCAGCATTTTAGTCACCTCTTACAACACGCATGGCTTATGGAGGAAGAATTCTATTCTGCTTCCCCATGGAAATAAGAGGAAATAAACAAGAACAAGAACTAGAAAGAAAATAGCAGAAAACCCAAAGGGGTGTGTATATATATGTATATGCTTGTACATGTATGTGTAGTGTGACCTAAGTGTACATAGAAGTAGCAAGACTTACTTGAAATCTTGCATGTTTAAGAGACAGAAAAAAGACACCAGCAGTCCTTTCTTTCTTTCTTTCAACACACCGGCCGTATCCCACCGAGGCGGGGTGGCCCAAAAGGAAAAACGAAAGTTTCTCCTTTTACATTTAGTAATATATACAGGAGAAGAGGTTACTAGCCCCTTGCTCCCGGCATTTTAGTCGCCTCTTACAACACGCATGGCTTACGGAGGAAGAATTCTGTTCCACTTCCCCATGGAGATAAGAGGAAATAAACAAGAATAAGAACTAGAAAGAAAATAGAAGAAAACCCAGAGGGGTGTGTATATATGTGCTTGTACATGTATGTGTAGTGTGACCTAAGTGTAAGTAGAAGTAGCAAGATGTACCTGAAATCTTGCATGTTCATGAGACAGAAAAAAGGACACCAGCAATCCTACCATCATGTAAAACAATTACAGGTTTCCGTTTTACACTCACTTGGCAGGACGGTAGTACCTCCCTGGGCGGTTGCTGTCTACCAACCTACTACCTAGAATCCTATCATATTCCTTTCCTAAATTGATAAATGCAGTGAAAAACTTATTTACCTTTGTCTAAATATTGTTTACTTGTGTGCTTTAATGTATACACTTAGTCTACACATTCCCTACTCTTCCTGAAGCCTCCCTGTTCATCTGCTATAATACTGCCTGTCTTACCCTTAATTAACCCTTTCACTGTAAAGACCCTTCCCTCCCCTCAAAAAAAAAAAAATCATTGCCTACACTCCCAAAATTAACCCTTTCACTTTCCAGACCCCTGAAATTAACCCATTCACTGTTCAGGCCCCTGAAATTAACCCGTTCACTGTCCAGGCCCCCAAAATTAACATTGTCCTCAGTGTCCACTTTAAAAAAAAAAAATTTAATTCTGAAATAGTAGGAAATCCTTTTCTGAAGGTAATGACACCAAGAGTACTAAACTTGATGGAAAACTTATGAAATTATGTAGGCACAAAGTCAGTGGTGTGTGGGTCATTTAAGCATTGGTGATTTTGCCAACTTTGAGTCCTATTTTAGGCTAATTCCATTGCTCAGTTTGACCAAATTCTTACATATTTGGCTAGTATGCCTTCTGTCCTGTTAGTTGAACACAAGAAACTGCCCTACAGTTTAAAATAAATGTTGTAGACATTCCTATCACTAAAACAAAATTTTCCGTTCATTAATCATGTCCCAAGGCCTCTCCTATATTACACTTGCCATCTATTTTGAATTCTTAATCACACAGAAATAGAAGATTTACTCTACTTCTCGGATAGTAAAATATAATCAGGAATGATTGGTCATGATTTACGGGGTCCCAATAATTGAATCAGACCTATTAACCCTTTCAGGGTCCGTCCCGTAGATCTATGGCTTTACGGTGAGTGTCCAAACCGTAGATCTACGCCATGAGCTCAGCTCACTCTGATAAACTGTGAGTGGTACATTTGGGCTTAGATATGAGAGAATACATCTATGTGGTATGTGTGCACCACATAAAACAGATCCTGCAGCACACTGTGTATAATGAGAGAAAAAAACTGAAATCATGATTTTTCGATTAAAACGGCAATTTTGCAGTGTTTTTTCGTATGTTTTTTATAGTTTTATTTGCGATTTCTTGGTCTCATTTGATAGAATGGAAGACATATTACAGAAATAGAGATGATTTTGATTGGTTTTAGCACTGGAAATGGCTTGAAACTGAGCTCAAAGTAACGGAAATGTTAAATTTTTGCCGATATTCAAGAGTAAACAAACGACCTCACACGTCTAATACACGTCAGCTGGTGGGTCTAATATACATTCACAAATATGCTGATGATATTTATACAATTATTACAGTATTGCATAAAAAGTAAATCTTCTATTTTTTGGTGTGAATAAAAATTCATTATGTGAAAAAAAATCAAAATGGAATTTATTTGTAAAGCCTCAAAACATAACTAATGAACAGAGGAAATGTTAGTTTAGTGCCAGGAATGCCTACATTGTTTATTCTGGACCCTATTTTGAAATTGGAATATTTTGAACTTTGTGTTAAATTGGCCAAATTAACAATTTCCAAACACTTTATTTTGTAGTTGAAACAGTTGACTTGGTGATTTCTTGTGCTCAATCGATAGAATAGAAGTAATACTAGTGAAATAGCTAAGAATTTGGTTGATTGGAATAATGTAATTGGCCTAAAATGGGAGTCAAAGTTGGCAAAATCGCCGATTCGTAAATATCGCTGACACATCAAAATTCGCGAGAGCATAATTTCGTCATTTTTCCACCAAATTTCGTACTTTTTGTTTTATTACCTTCACAAAAAGATTCTCTACGATTTCATAAGAAAAAATAACAAATTTTTTTTTTTGAAAATTCTTGGACACTGGTGCGTGACTCCAGATTTGGGCCTTGGACCCTGAAAGGGTTAAAGACCCATAAAACAGACTCAAGAGGGCTTACCTGTCTTCAGAAAAATCATCAAAAATCAAATGTTTGTTCTACTTGAGCCTAGTTTCTTTGTAATTAAAATCTACTTTAAGTTTTTGTTCCCAACCTACCTTAGCCCTAAAGTACTAAAATACTAAAAACTACTAATTTGTGTTCTTTACAGCTAATATTTGGGAATTCATGGACTCGAGCAGATGGTTTTGATTGGCACATTCATCATTTCTGCTGCAACGTTTGTGATACACCAATGGCAGGACAGCGATATGTACCAGACAAAGATGGCTATCCATATTGCCTTCCATGCTATATGGCTTGTTTAGCTAAGGTTGTATATCATATTCAATATTTAGGTTTTTATATTTTTCATTAATGATGGGATACATTTAATTTATTTCTGTTGACATGCAGAGCTGTAAGAATAAGACCACTTATGACATTTAGCACTGTCACTCTTCAAAGGTAGGGGAGGTTGCCTTGATGCTAGTGAAGGGCTCTTGATTCAAAGAATTCGAGTTACTTAACCCTTACTGGGATTGAACCTGATTAGCCCTCATTCCCTTATTGTTGTATGACATGGTTTTAGCACTTCCTCATGAATTTCAGTAATAATACAGTAATAATCTAGCATTGTAATAGTTAATTCTGGATGGAGCTATAAGGTTATTTCAGTATATGCACTCAAAACAAATTTAAGTGGTCTTAACTTCTCTGCATATTTGTTTACATTTACTTCATTAGATAAGTCATTTAGTTGTTTTAGTCTAGCTGTTACTACATTGAGTTCTTTACCATTTTCTTTAGATGTGCGAGACATGTGAGGAGAAAATACCACCAGAGGAAAACCGTTGTGGCCATCGAGGTTACTTTTATCATGCAAACCCCCAGTGCTTCCGATGTTATTCTTGTAAAGACCCTCTCCTTGGTAAGCGATTCAAGATGTCTAAGAACTGGCTCTTCTGCTCTAATGAGTGCATTCAGGCAGCTGCAGAAGATTTAGCTGTCAATCCCAATCCTAAAGAAAAGCCACAGTGAGCCACAGAAAGAAAATGTAAACACATTATTATAATGTCAGTATAAATTTTATTCTAATTTTAGCCATTCTTGGATGTATATATGGTAAGGTGTATGAAAGTTGACTTGAAGCTGGATTACATTTGCACCAAATGAAGTGAATCAGCATTGCAGTAAAATAATCACAAGTGAAAGATTAGTGTCTTATGGATTTAAATAGTGAAGCAGCTGTGTGCTTGCACTTTACTGCAGTGTACAGTATAGCAGATTACTTTATTTGGGTTGTCAAATAAGAACAAATGAATGTCATTGACAGTCCTGATACGTATTGGTAAAAGTATGGGCTGACGTTAAGGGCAAAATGTATCGTGATTAATTTTATTGGGCATAAAGGGGCAAAAAGCAACCACATTGCTCCAATGAAATAAATGAACAAGTCTTCCTTGACTAAATGTTTTTGCATGGATTATTTTTACTGTAGTATTTGAGTCTTCCTAGTATTTTTTTTTTTTGAGAGTGATAATTTAAAACATGCTAAGTACAGAGTATTTTAATTTGCCAAATTTATAATTGTTTTTAGTTGTTGTACAGGCTGTGAATATTATACATTGACTTTCATATTTAATGATTAGCTCACTTGTACTTAAGGACAGCTCAAGCATTACTGCAGCTTCAATCATTGGGTACTGTAAAGAATGATTGAACAATATGATGTCAAAGTTTAGAGTACTAAGCTTCATACTTCTCATGCAGTGTTGCTTGTCTATAAAAGTTTGTCATTAAAATAGAATGAGCACCTAAATTGTCAGTAATTGAGATTATAGTACTCATGAACTGATTCTTAGTGTTAGTCACTATTTTTAAGTAGTGAATAATATGTATTTGCCATGAAAGTATATTTTTTTTCTCTTGATACCATAGTCCCAATGTATATTTCTGGATTTTTCTCCTTATAAGCTATTTACTGAATGACTCTGACATGTTTAGAATTTTTCATAGATTTTTATTTACTTCATATGCTGTATGGTTCCTGCTTTTCATTTTATATTTTATATTTAAGACTCCGTGATTAATCTAAAACTTGTAAAAATTTGAAAGAAAAAGGGATTATTACAGAATAGAGAATTCAGTTATACACTTAAGCATCTAATAGCACCTTAATTATTTTAACAAGTGAGTTTATGAATTACAGTAGATATTTACAGCTAAAATAAAGGAGCTAATGTATATAGTAATAAAAGAATGTATTAAAAGCAAAATCAGTAGCACCTGAGGTAGTCAATAGCACCTGGAGTATTTTAATGGCAAAATAGTGAACTTATTACACTTTAGCCCCTGAGAATAGCACTTTGATTATTTTAACAATTGTGAATATATGAACTAAGGTAGTTATATAAAGCTAAAATAAAGGAGAAAATATATAAGGGACTATATTAAGTAATGGTAAACAAAGTTCAGTGGACAGATAGTCACTATGATATAACATAATGGCAAAATAGTGAACTTTTTACATTTTAGCACCTGATGTAGTTGAAGTTCTGACAAAAATCGAGAACCAAAACTTAGTCATTGTACTTGTATATAAGCCATTGGATGCAACTTCCCAACAGTTCAAAGAACTGTCAAAAATTGACTCCTATCTGAATAACTTTCCAGCCTCATCCCCAAATATCTTGCTGCTTGGTGACTTCAATCCAAGACACACAAAATGGAAGAATATAGCAAATAATGTTGTAGCAGAAATAATCCCGAGGTAGCTCAGATGAAAGGTCACACAGACAGGAGCTGCTGAATTTCTGCAACACACACACCATAAGTCAGCAAATAGTGGAGCCAACAAGACTGTTGTGGAAAACTGGAGGAAATAATAACTAGGACTGAGTATACTACAAACTCTAATCACACAATAGAGCGGAAAAGTAATGTGAAGGACCTGGGTGTGGTAATGTCCGAAGACCTCACCTTCAAGGACCACAACAATCCCCATTTTATCACATCTGCGGGAAACTGATAGGAATGGATAATGAAACATTCAAGACTAGAGATGAAAAGGCCAAATTTATAATTTTTTTTAAAAATTCGCTTTTTTCTTTCGGGTTTAAAAATTTTTACAAAAAAAAAACTGGAATACGTGTCTGGAGTTTCAGCCGCAGCAAGCACCCAACGGGGCTTTCTTAAAATTTTTGCCATCGCCCGGGCCAAACCGAACTCCCATTATGGCCAAAATCAAGTACTCCCGCAACAAAAAATGCAAGAACCAAAGGGGACATAAAAACTGAGGGTTGACAACAACGAAAGGGGACTAAATGTGACAAAAGGGCCCGGGCATTCAAGAAACCAAACCTGCTCCCAAACGTAAAACCAGACATGAAATTTTTTCCACAACAATGAAAAAATTTACCTCCCATATCAACTGCAGCCATGTTTCAAGGGGAAGCCCAACCCAAGGCAGAAAACCGACAACAAAACCCCAAAGGGAAAAGCCCGGGTTTTTAGGACTTTTTCCTCGGGTGCCAAACGGGGGGAAAAAATTGACATTTTAAACCCATAGCTGCCCGGGGCATCCAGACCCCACTACTGCCAGACTTACAACTACGAAGCAAAATTTCTCATCTTTACTTTCGTTCTTTGGGTTTGGGGGGCTTTTAGCATCATACCCGGGACCATCACCCTATCACCTGTACCAGTGGCAAAGAGAGGGAAACACAGGAGACATCGCCAAATTTCAGCAGAAACAAAACTCCGGGGGTTTTTATAGGAGGGGTTTAACCCCCTCATCCCATTCGGGGGAAAGAAGTAAAATTTGGGTAAACGGGCCCGGGTTTAATTTTTTTAGTAGCGGGCCCCAATATTCAGCAAACCTTGTACAGTGAGAGAATCTTTAGCAAAAAAACGCCAAATGAAATTCTATAAATTTCAAGGGGAAAGTCTTTTTTGTAGGGTGGCTTTTTTTCCCCTCAGTTTTTTTAAAAATGGGCCGAGCCCACAGACCAGGTCGGGCATTCAACAAAAACCACACAACCCCCCCCAAAAATTTGGAATTAAAGGGGGAATTTAAAAGGGATAAAAACCCATTGATTAAAATTTTTCCTGGTCTACCAGAAGGGAAAAGGGATTTAGAAGTTAATGGGTTTGAACCCCGACTGTGAATGAGGGGGAAGGGGATTTTTAAAAAAGGGTTTTAACTAAAGGGGGGTTTGTAAATTTGGGGAAAAAAGTGAGCATGAAAAAAGGGTTTGGAAGAAAAAAAATTAAAAGAAATTTAAAAAGGGGTAAATTGCTAAAGCATATACAAGAGTACTTCGGGAAGGAAAGAAAAAAATTTTAGAAAAAAGACAAAAAAAATGGCACCCTTTTTTTCGGCTGCCTTTAATTTAAATTTTTTTCCCCCTTCCCCCCCAAAACCAAAAAAAAAAAACCCCCAGTCAAAAGGGAGCGGAAAATTGGAATGGAGAAACCCGCCCCGGACAAAAAAGCCCCCCTTGGCCAACCCCCCTACCAGAAAATAAAGCCCTCCCGCAACGAGGCAAAAAACCGCAAACCCAAAAAAAAAACCCATTGGCACCCCAGCCTTTTTGAACACTCTTAAAGTTTTGGATAACCAAATTAAATCCGGGCCCTAAAACCCTATTGGAAAAGGGGCAAAAAAAGACAAGAAAAATGACGGGTATAAAATTCCCGGCTAGATTTTAAAATATAACCAAAACCCTCCAAATGAATGCAAAAAAGGGGTCCAAAGTGGACAAAAAAACCCCAAATTTTTAACCCAAAAAACACCCCCAAAAACATTTTGCATACACGAACTAAAGAATGCTTTAAAAAACAAAAAAGGAAAAACCTTATGAAAAATGTGAAAGGGGTTTGGGTGCATAAAGGATGAAAGTACAATTATAGCAAACGGTGCCAAATTTCCCAATTTTGGGTGTGTAAAAAAAGCACTTTGGCACAGTTACCCTTTAGCAAGGGTTTTGACATTAATTTACCAAATTTTTAAAATCCCAAATGCCCCCTTGCCAAAATTGTTGATTACAATTGTTTTATAAAAAACCGGGCCTTCATTTTAAATTCATTCAACCAAGATCACCCCCTTCCAAAATTGCAAGATTAAGTTTCTAGCAACAAAATTTGGGGGCGGCAGTTAAAACCCAAAACCGAATCCGGGTTGAGGGAAAAGGGTAACTGTTTAAAATTTCAAAATAAAGTTTTCCAATTAAAACGCTTAAAGATGGGAACCCAAAAGGGGTGGGGAACGGCCTAAAAATTAAAAAGCCCGCAATTAACCCAAACCTGTTTTAAAAAAAACCCAATAAACGGGAGTTCAAGGGTTTAAAATTTTTCGGTTTCCCAAGACCAAACCCCAAACTTAGAAAGGAACGGGGTTTTTACGGGCCCCCCCTACCCGGGCCCAAATTCCCTTAGAAGACTTTCCAAGAAATTTTTCAGGATTTTAAAACTTTGGGAAAACAGTAAAAACGGGGATTTCAAAAATCTGTTTTCAGAAACCCAAAAAAAACGGGCCAAATGCAAAAGGTCCCTTCAAGGGGGGTTTCCTTTGGGGGAAAAAAAGAGGCCCTTGGTCTGGGGAAAATTAGCCCGTCGGCCCTTTTTTCCCCTCAAAACCAACCAAATTTTACCCCCCCCCTTTTCTCCCCCCCCTAACCCCACCCCTGGGCCCATCCCCCCTTTTCCACCCCCTTCCCTCCTCCCCTCCCCCCTCCCTTTTTCCCCCTTCCCTTTTTAGCCCGTGATTTCTCCCACGGGCGCGCTATTCCTAGGTGGGGGGGAAAGGAAAAAAGGGGGGGGTTTCCACCCCTTTTTCCGTTGAGGTTTCTTGGGCGGGGGGCGTATTTTTGCCGGGGAATCGGGGTTTTTTTTTTTTTTGCCAAGGGAGTCCCGATCCCTCTCCGGTACCCCCGGAGAAGCTTTGGGTGCTTTTGGGCACGGGGGAAAACTCGGGAAGGGCCCCTTTTTCGGATTCCGGGGTGGGGGGGTTTTTGAAGGGGGTATGTTTTTGTGGGGGTTTACCGGCTGCCCTCTTTTTTTGTCCACCGGGTAGCTCGGCAGATGTGATTTTTCCCCCCCCCCAAATTGCTGGTTTACTGGCATAAGGGTGGGAAAAATTGGCAGGGTTCCATGCTGCATCTGCGCAAACCAGCGGTTTTTTGATCCTTTTGGGGCGGGGAAAGGGAGTTTTCGGGCCCTTTCATTCCTCCTGGGAACAACCCCTCCCCGGCCCCCCCCTTTTTTTTTTTTTTTTTTATTTTTTTTTTTCCCTTCTTTTTTTTTTTTTTTTCCCAAAAAACAAAAAGAAAGAAGTAACCAAACCAAAGGAAACCCCCCCTAGCCCATAAACCCCCTGGTACCCCCGGGCCCCTTCTTGATACCGCACCCCGTTCGGGACCCCCCCTCGTTTTTGGACCCCCTTCTTAAACCCTTCCCATCCCTTTTGTACCTTTTTCCCGGGTCCCTGTTTCCTCCCCCCCCGTTTCAGGTACTGAGGCCTCACTGACCCCCTTTTCGATTTATCAGCCCTTCCTCTCCTCTGATTTATGTTTCCCCCGGTTTCTCCCTTTTACTTTGGGAAATTTTTTTCAAAATCGCCGACCCTTTTTCCACGTGGGAAACCCAACTCTGGCCCCCACGCCAAACCCGGTAAAACGAAAATTTAAACCTGCTGATGATACTTCCCACCTTCCCCCCTTCTCGTTTTTCTCGAAACAAATCGACACGTCCTTCAAAACCTTTTCCAAACCTTTCATTTTCAGACTGAACAGTGGACTAAATTTTTTCATTTTACGACCAACTTCCTCTAACGCCTACTTAATTCCCCTGTATTGGCAAGGCACTCCTACCCCAAAGTTGGAAAAAGAATTTTTTTTTCCTTTCCCTTAAAGGGCCCGGTCCCGCCATCATTACCGAAACAGAATGCAACCCGGGCTCTTTAGCCCCTTCGTTTTTTCCCATATAGATACGTTCCTGTCCCCCTTTAAAAAACATCATTCCCTAAAATTTTTTGTAGTGGTACCGTTTTTCTCCCCCAAAAACCATAGTTCAAAAAAATTTTCCCAGACATGGGGCACCGACATTCAAAACAGCGGGAACTCCAAGATCTCCCAACCTCAAGGTAAAACACTTACGTTTTTCCTGCCCGGGGGGGAAAACATACCCTAGAAATTTGGGGCCCTCTTTTAAACTTTTGACGAGCCGAAAAACCCCATCCCCCGTTTATTTTACAGGAAAAAAAAAACCCCTTTTAACAATTTCCAAA